GAGACCTCCTTTTGAGCCCGGCAGGGTGGTCAAACTAGCCAATCATAGCATCAGAACTCTAAGCACCTGAGAGAGAGTGGGCATCTCCCAGAACAAAATATGGTTTTGTGCCACTCCCAACAGAAATACTCCAGGTGGACAGCTTCAGCAATCAGGAGCTCCTCAGTTGCTCATAGCAAATCCCACTTTGGAGTTTACAAAGACTTATGGGTAGAAAAGCCACACTAAGTACTACACTGCAGGAGGCATTAGTGTAAGTGAAACACTATAAGCTTAAGATGGTAGAAGCTTAAGACTCAAAACTCTGTCACCATGCTATTTGTATTTCATGGGGTTGGACCTTATTTAGGCATGCATATTCCTCAGAAGGAAGGTTGGGCAATCCTACTTCCGTAGTGACACTGCCTCGGAAACCCAAGGAGGGGTCACTATGAGTCAGGGCTGATTCGACGGCATATAACAACAACAACAACAACATGTCTCGATGAAAGGAGTTCCGGTGGTGCAGTTGTTAAGGCATTTGACTGCTAACCAACAGGCTGAAGGTTTGGGCCCACCAGCCACTCCACTGGAGAAAGATGAGACACTACTGTAAAGATTTACAGCCTTGGAAACCATATTGGGCAGTTTTACTCTGCCCTATTGGGGTCACTATGAGTTGAAATCAACTCAGTGGCAATGGGTTTGATTTTTTGGTTTGGTATGCCTCAGTGAATTTGAGTCATAATAGTTTCCAACTTTTTTTTTTTTTTAATTAACTGCTAATGTACGTGTGTCTAAAAAAGAAGTCCCAGTGAAAGGGAAGTGGCATGTTTGGGATAGGAGCAAGAAGTCAAAAACTGGATAAGTACTATGAGTTTTATTCTGGAATTATGCTGAATTGATTATTGCCTGACGTTAGTAAGGCAGGAAATTTGATAGAAGGGAATGTAGTTCGCTAATTTTTGTTGTAATACGATTTAATCTATAGGATAGAAAGAATAAGCATGGATGTGCTTTAACATAGCCACACATATTTAGGATGAAATGGACTTTTGGCCTTCTGATTTGACAGTTGGTTCTATACAATAAAATATTTCATCAAAACACTTGATAGCAAACTCTGCTGTGTTCTGTTGTTATGTGCCGTTGAGTCAGACCTGACTCATAGCAACCCCTCCTTGGGTTTCCGAGGCAGTATCACTACGGAAGTAGATTGCCCCATCTTCCTTCTGAGGAGTGGCTGTGTTGTTAATTCCCATTAATAAATACTTGCCTTTTACCAAGTGCAGCTTTCTGCTCAGAAGATTCCTTGGTGACTAGCAATGGGCTATATAGTTCAGTCTTCATTCTTAGAGCTAAGTTCTAAAAGGAAGGGAAAGTACAAAAAGGATGTGGAGGTGGCATCTTCTGACCTCTTCCAGTTTCACGAGGGGGAGACAGAATCATTGTCAGCAGCCTAAGGCTTATTCCTACGAGGCCAGACATGTCACCACCCTCCAGCCTTTTTATTATTTCTGACATCAGCTGTCCCTCCCACTACACCCACTAGTTCTCTGCTGGGTTAGATAATTTGTTGCAGTGGCCACACACAACTTAGAGGCAATAAACTAAGGGGTTTATGAGGGAAGTAACAGGCTACAACTCAGTTTCAGGAATACTCTCAGAATACAATTCTTTGATAAGGACAATTTCCCCTCTGCTATGCCCTCAAGCATGCTTCTCTGGCCCTTGGCCTCTGGGCCTGGCCTCTGCCCTGCTTGGACAATTTAACTCTGCTGATAGGTATACCTATGTGCACACCACTCTACCAGCAAGTCTCCTGCCCAAAGGTACTCGGCTTTCTCCCTTGTGGGCTGGCAAGTCTGTTGTTCGGTCTCATGCCTCTTGGTTCCACTGCTGCCATCTCTCATTTGGTAGTCTCAGCCAGTCGTCTCTGCTGGTTGCCTCTGCCATCGCTCTACAAAGAAGGTCCAGTGCAGTGATATTGGGTCCAAGAACATGCTCCACTCCACCTCTGGTTCCTCTCTTGATGGCAGTGAGACTGCCTTCTGCCTCTGTTGTTGTTGTTGTTATGTGCCGTCGAGTCGGACCCGACTCACAGAGACCCCTCCTTGGGTTTCCAAGGCAGTACCACTATGGAAGTAGATTGCCTCATCTTCCTTCGGAGGAGTGGCTGGTGGGTTTGAACCGCCAGCCTTCTGGTTAGCAGTCAA